TGTGATTTGAATCCTGAACACTAGGTAGATGCTAAGAAGAATTAATCTAAATGTGACTTTAATTGGAAGGAGTTATATTAAATTCCTGTTATTAATTTCTTATCTTTTAGGTGTGTTTTGACTGTGGAGCTAAAAATCCTAGCTGGGCAAGCATAACGTATGGTGTTTTTCTTTGTATTGATTGCTCGGGGACTCATCGATCTCTTGGTGTTCACTTGAGTTTCATTCGGTAAATAGTTACAATTTTTCTTTGGTTAAGAAGTGGTGAGCTGTGTCTGCTCTTTGATCAGAGCCTTGAAGTTTTGTGTTCTAAACAGGTGTTTGATAATGGGAGACTACATTTTTTCTTTTTAAATTACTTATTTATATCCATCTCATGTTGGTGTGATCAAAAAGTTGCTGCTAGCTGTGTGGGAAGTACATATGTGTGGTGAGGATTTCATAGAAATCATAATGTACTTTTGTTCCATTACATGTGCTGTCTTACACACACAATTAATATGTTTATTGGCAGCCTAATCCAACTTCTTTGAAGAGGTACGGAATAGGCGTATACTTAAACTAAGTCTCGTGTATGGTTCTTCCAGATCAAGGTTTCTGCAGCATTGTTACATCAGTGCTCACTGATATCAGCTTTCTGCTGTAGTTTACTGTTTCACTGGATATATACATCAGAAAAGTTTAACAAGAGGATATGCATGGATTCTTTAAACCTGCAGTTGTGAAATATGGCTCTTTGCTGTTGTGATAGCTGGGATGCTTTATTTCCCAGAAAAAAAAATTAAGAAACTGCCTTCTTTTCATTTTGAACATTGTAATCAGTGCCTTTCAGGAAAGTTTTCTTGTCCTACAGAAACTTTTTGTGATACTTCTTAATGGATGATTCCTAGTTTGTATATCAAAAAAGGTCTGGCATCCAGTCAGTCTTTCATTCTCTGTGATGTAGCTTTGATTTTTGTCATTATAGCATCCTCTCTGTTGACCAACAACTTAATGGACAGAAAAGCTAAGATTTGGATGCTGAAAGAGGGAGTTCCAGATTAAGTGCCTCACAGCCACATCTTTTAAAGGAAACATGTGGATTGCTAGTTAACGGGTATATTTTCTCAAATACTGATGTTCTATTCCTCTATTAATTTCTTAATTAACATGGATTTTATGCCCCAGGAGAGAGCAGGTTTTAAACTGTAGTATTTCTTTCAAGCTGCTAACTTTTCTTAAAATAGCTTTAACAAGAGGTGTTTAAAATGGTTTTAGAAACTAATACTAAAAATGTTTCCTCTGCTTAGGTCTACAGAATTAGATTCCAATTGGTCTTGGTTTCAGTTGAGATGCATGCAAGTTGGAGGAAATGCTAGTGCTGTAAGTATATCTTAAAAATGTATTTCTGTTTTCAGGTATTTGCCTACCATGAAAACAGAAAGTCGTTACTATTAAAAGCTGCTCATTTAGCTGCATTATAAAGATCTATTATTAAGAGCTACTCATTTCATATATTGTAAAGAATTTAGGAATAAAGGAGCTAACTTTCCAAACCTCTGGAATTTTGTATTTTTGTGTATGCCAATGAATAAACTGCTACTTTCTTAAAATTCTAAGCAAGCTGAGATCAGACTAGCTTTTCTGGAACTGGGTCATGGCAAAGGAGGTGGTGTAGACAGATAAACTGCAGCATGTTAGAAGGGGGCAAGGACTCAGTGCATCAACTGCTCCTTGGTAATTGTTCATGTTCATTTTGCAGTCTCTTGGCAAGTCAAAGATAAACCATGGAAATGTATTCTCCTAAACTAAGAGCTAAGCTGTCTCAGTATTGCTTTCACTTATCATGTGGTAGGAACAGATATACCATTATCAAACAGCAAATGATGTGGTAAATTTCCAGCCCCTCTTTACTTAGGTACAATTTTTATGTCCCCAGTCTTGTGTTTTACTATTTCTAGAGCTAGATACAACACTTAAGGGAGGGGTGGGCAATATGCGGCCTGGGGGCCAGATGTGGCCTGCCAGGCCATTTTTTCTGGCCTGCGGGGCCCTTAAAATAATTTAGAAAATTAATATTTATCTGCCCTGGGCTGCCTGTCAAGCGGCTCACAATGGCTTGCCAGAACTCAGTAAGCAGCCCTGTGCCCAAAATAATTGCCCACCCATGATTTTGGGCGTACAGTCAGAACATACGTATCTTTGATAAATCTAGCAAAATACAGCAATTACTTTGGAACGTCTGATGGCTTGGCTTAGCAAATATTGGCTGTTCCAGAGAATAAGACAAAAGGGATGTTGAAAGTTATTTATTGGTTTCTATACTAAAATTGTGATGGAATCAAAAGACAAGACATGACATGCCTTGATGGAGTTTTGATAGTTTCTAAACATGTAGAGCGGATGAAACGTAAACTAAACTAACCAAATATTCCAGTGGACCATCTGGTGTTTATCTCTCTCTATCTCTATATAGATATCAATATAAATATCGAGAGAGAGAGATCGATATAGAAACTAGATCTAGATCGGGGTGGGCAAAATACGGCTCACGGACCAGATTCGGCCTGCTAGGACATTTTATCCGGCCTACGGGGCCCCTAAAAAATTTAGAAAATGAATATTTGTCTGCCCCTGGCTCCTGTCAAAGATGACAGGAGTCAGGGGCAGTAGGACCCAGGGGAAGCCACGGCAGGCTCCTCCAACAGTAGGGCCCGCCTGGCTCTGTGCCCCCAGCCAGAAGCCCTTGAGACCGTGGGGCTGTTTATGGCTGTGCCAGTGTGGGTAAGAAGGGGAGAATGAAGGCAGGGGAAGACTGCAGGGATCGCCCGAGTCCTTGGGGTGGCCGGCTCCTACTGAGCCTCACGGTCCGCCCCACTCCGTCCTTCACTGTGGGGGGCCTCAGTCTGCTCCCCCCTACACCCCTTCCCCGCTCCCACCCCTTTCCCCACAACAGACTTACCAGTCTGACACTGCTGTTCGCGCTGTGGGGCTGAATATCGTAATTGGATCAGTATCGGCCAATATGGCTCGTTAAAAATTGGCCATCGCTGTCAGCCCAAAAAATCTCTATCAGTGCACCCCTAGAAAATATTCCTTTTATATCAAATATTCAGCACCCTTAAAAAGATCTTCTGGCACTGTGTTTGAGAATTACTGCCATAGTGACTTGCAAAACAAGGGTTGTCTGGAGGTTTGCACACTTGCATGTGGTGCTTTTAACAGGAAAAAGAAAACTATTAGCACACATTAAGGACTGGGAGAAATAGATAGTATTTTTAAAAAGGTATAACGTGGGGGCCAGCAAAATACGGCCTGCAGGCCAGATCCAGCCTGCCAGCTGACTGGATCTGTCCCGTTGCTGCCCTTCTGGTTCTGAGCCCTACTCGCTCACCTCCTGGGCCACACTGCAGACTATGTGCTCCAGCCCAGGCCCCAACCAGTACACACAACTTCTGGTGGGGCTATTACTGGTGTGGTTGCAGCTGGCTGGCTGCTGTTCTGCTCCCCTCACCCCCAGCTGCACCCCCTACCGCTGCTGTACTGCTTTGAGTGGTGGGGGGGAAGGAGGCTTCAGCCAAGCAGCTCCTGCCTCAGTGTGCAGGGCTTCAGCTCCCAGCTGCCTTCCACCTGCTTCACCCGCCCAGTGCAATGAGCAGCCACCTACAGGCGGTGACAGCTCATTGGAACTTCCCAAGTGGCTCTTAGTACCAAATAATTTCCCATTCCTGGTATAAAGCATCTAGCTGCAATTCAGGAAACCTTCCTTTTGTAGTATTGTATTTAACCTCTTTCTCAGGATGTATATGTTTGTGTGTTTACAGTCTGCTTTTTTCCATCAACATGGGTGCTCAACAAATGATACCAATGCCAAGTACAATAGCCGAGGTGCCCAGCTTTACAGGGAAAAAATTAAATCTCTTGCAGCACAAGCCACAAGGAAGTATGGTACTGATGTAAGTAATGCATGTATTAGTTCATTATATTCTTATACAAAATATGCTTCCACAGTAATTTAAATTTCTAACTGGTAAGTAAAATGCAAAGAAGCAGGCACTGCTTGTGTTTGTAGCTGTCAATACGGAAGTGGTGAATATGTTGAAATAGAAGGTGTAAAGTGTTGGAAATATTCCCATTAGTTGGAACACTAGAATTCTAAGCAAGTCAGTAGCTAATATTGTTGGATAGTGTTGGCTTAAGCAGATGAGTGCTATTTGATAACTAGCCAGTTGCCTGTCAAGAATGATGGTGGGGCAGGGGGGTGGCTGGGAACAGAGGCCAGTGTCCAGCCCCCACCACAACCTTCAGGACCAGGCCCGCTCCCTCCCCCCCCCTGCATTGCTGGGGCCAGGGCCGGGCTTTCCCTTGCCCCCATCCGCTGGCCCCACTCCTCTCTTCTGCTCCGTCGACACCACCTGCAGGATCAGGGGGTGGGGCCAGTAGTGCTGGCCTGTCTGCTCCATTACCACTGCTTGCTGGGAGGGTGGGGGTGTTGCTCTGTGGGGTCAGGCCAACTCTCAGGATCTCAATATTGCGCTGTTAGACAGGAGGGTGTGACATAATTGCACATATACAAACGCAGAAATCAATTGGATGCATACACACACTACCAACTGGGGCACATACACATCCAAACTAGCCTAGGCACCAATTCAAGCACATACACTATACACCCCAAATGTTAGACAAAAATCAATTATTCATACCCGCACACTCAGTACACATACACAGATCACTAATTCATATATCATACACACAATGACATTATATACACACACACACACGT